TAGCATCTTCTTTCTGGGAGGTGCGGCGCTCTCTGCGTTAGGGTCTGGTCTGTGCCTGCCCGGGACGGGGCTGGGGCTGCAGGGTCCTGCACGCAGCGCCAGAGCAGTTGGTGGGGTGAGACGCTCACGCCTGGGAGCATCTGCTCCGCCGCCACGGCCTGTCTGCCTGCCTGGTGAGAGGGGCGAGCGACAGTAATGCTGAAACACTGATTCAACCTCACAGCGTGAAAGCTTTTGGTTTTTTGTTTTTCTTTCTTTTTGTGGAGTGCTGGAAACACTCACCCTGCTGGTTTGCCAAGACCTCTTGGAAAGCCAGTGATGAGAGGTTGGGGATGGCGATTTTTAAGCAGGGACGTATAATTTATACTGCTTATGCATTGCTAAGGGAGAAATTACAGGGCTTCTTTTAAACAGGAGAAAACCCCAACCTAGCACTGAGTCGGTGTGCCCTAGAGGGCTCTCATTGTTCAATCCCTATTAGCAGTGACTCAGGCCAAGCCAAACAAAGGTAAGCTTGCACCTGGGGAGGTGTTTAGGGCCAGTGACCTCATCGTGGGATACATCTTCATCTCCTCTTGTCCCGAGGCCATGCATCTGGGAAAAGGGCTGAATGTGTAAGAAATTTAAACGGCTCTTGCTGTATTGATACTTTCAGCAGCATTTGGTTTTGTTTGTTGGGTTTTTGTTTTGATTTTTTTGTTTGTTTAAGCAAATTATGAGCATGTATTACAGAAGAAGATGTGATCTGTTTTATGCAAATTCATAATTTTCCTCTCTTTCTCGATTATTTTCACTGCTGAAAAGGAACCGCAATGGAGAGTACAGTAACGGTTATGTTCCTTGTGTCGTTTTCCATGCTGCTGTGTGAAAGTTATCATCATGGAGTGGAGACAGCTACTGTTGTGCATACATCAGAGAGAGCTTTTCCAGAAAAGACAGCTGGTATTAATACTGACTTGGCAGGACTAGTACAGAAGTTTCACCTTCAAGAACTTTTTCATCGTTATGGAGAAAACAACTCTCTGTCAATTGAAGGGTTTAGAAAACTGCTCCAGAACATTGGTATAGATAAAATGAAAAGGATTAAAATAAGCCATGACCATGATCATCATGACCATGATCACCATGACCACGATCATGATCATCATGACCATGACCATCATGACCATGACCACGATCATCGCTTTCATCATAATCGCATTTCGTTGAGTAAAAGCTCGGAGAAGACTGTTTGCCCAAACCATGAATCTGATGCTAACAAAGACCATAGGAACAGTCATGCAAAGGAACCTCATAAAGCAGAGAGTGTGGAACACCAGCAGAACTTTGTACGCAGAAAGAACACTGTTAATGAAATAACAGCCTCTGTCATCACTGCTTCTGCAGGTGCCCACTCTGAGTTGCAGAATGTGCAACCTGGAGAAGTCAAGATGGTTTCTCGTTCAGGTCTGACTGGCCCTAGTGCTGTTAACGTCACAGGTGGGCGCAATGTGAGCTGGTTTGCTAACAGCAAAGCAAATGAGTCAGCTCGTACTTCTCCAAAGGAACCAGAGAGAGGAAGTTACCTATATTCTAAACTGAAGAAACTACATACTCAAGAGGTGAGACCCACTTTGTTGTCTTCTGAGGGAGATGTGATAGCATACAACTGTCATACTTCAACCCATTCCCTCCCCATCTTCAAGATTCTATGTAGAAACCAATTGTAAAAAGTTTGCTGCAAGGCATTATCTGTTACTTTAAAATAGTAAGAATTAGTACTGATAAAGTCGTAAGTTCTGTTGTAGACAGTTTTTTTATATAAGCCTTTTCCATTGAGGGCTTTAAAAAGCAAGCAGGGTCTTAATGTAGGCAGCCATGCCAGGTAATTCAGCGTGGGTGTTGTGTAGCATGTGATTGTAGGTGCTGAATTTGCAGATTGTTGCTATGTTCTGCACAGTCATAGCAGAAGTACTACTGTTTGTTAAACGTACAAGTAGGCCATACAGTGAGGAACTCTTTACTAGAGGAAGTGTATGCAGAACATGCTCTGCACAAGACTTTCCATAGTAGTCACTTCTATAAAAAGGTGTTTGACCTTGTTACTGCTTCCTTGTGTGGCCTTTAAAACTGACTGAAAAGTCTTAGGCTTTTTCTATTTATACATCAAAGCCTCTGACCCACTTGTGCTGACAATAAGTGATAATTACATGTCATCTACCAGGACTCCCAAAGTAGCTTTCTGGGACAGGGTGGAGGTACATTTTTTGCTTAATTGATTTGCTACCAGTTTTTGAGTTCTGTTGATACAGTGTTTGCATGTGGTGCCACTGCATTTGAATTGAGATGGGGTGTGCAGTCCTTTTCAGATACATCATGGTATTTTGGTTGTGGTTAATCTTTAACACGTCTCTTGCCACAGTGCTCCAATGCGTCAAAACTGATGCAGTCACATGGAATAGGCACTCAAGTATTGTTGACTCCTACAGAATTTAGTTACCTCTGTCCAGCTCTTATTAATCAGATCGATGGCAAATACTGCATAGTCCATGCAACAAGTGAAAAAGTTGAAACTCCTCCAAAAAGTTACTCTCTGCAAATAGGTAAGTTGTTTTTTTAACATTGAAGCTTAATGTAGACACATTTATGTTGGTTATAAATGTGGAAAAGGTATTTCAATGTTGAAAGAAGTTTGTAATTTTCTTTTGGCACTTGACCAAGACTAAAGAGAAATCCTTGTGGCATACCTTTTGTTAACACCCGAATAATTGAATGATCAGAAGTGTTTGATAACAGAAATGTTAAGCAAACAAAATCATGTACAGCTGTTACTTATTGTTGTTACTATTTTGTTTTTTTTTCCAGCTTGGATTGGTGGCTTTATATCGATCTCTGTCATCAGTTTTCTTTCCTTATTGGGTGTTATATTGGTACCGCTGATGAATCGTGTATTTTTCAAATTTCTTCTAAGTTTTCTTGTGGCATTGGCTGTGGGCACCTTGAGTGGAGATGCCTTCTTACACCTTCTTCCACATGTAAGTATTAATTACTGCTTCATTCATCATCTCAAAGCAGAGAACTTGACAACTGTATGTACTACTTAGTGATAAATTTAATCCCTATTAGTTAATACCCATTTGGTGAGTCATTTCTCAGCTTTATAAGGCAGATTATTTGATGGAGGAAATAATGGAAATTTGATGGAAAGGTTTTCCATTTGGAACTGTTTGTATTACTCATTTTACAGTCCTTACAGTGCAAGAACTTCACCGCATCATCCCTCTCTCTGTTTCCTGTTATTAGTCATACATGTTGCCAAGGCACTTACTTGCATGGAATAGTTTTGCATAAATGCTCTTAGTGCAGTGCTGCCTCTTCTTTTTCAAGTTTAATGGACTTTACGGATAGTGGAAAGCATTCACTGAATGCTTTAACATGGAATTGATAGTCAGCTGTTTTCTCTTATAACACACTTATGTTGATGTCTTATCCATTGTAATTCTTTTAATAAGAATCAGGTGTTTCTGGAGTCCTGGGAAAACATTCTTTGATAGTCTTTGGAGTTGTTGTTATGTAATATGGACAATGAAGTGGGGATATTGCTACATCTCTACCTTTCTTGAAGCTCTTAAGTGGACATTCCCCACCTATCAAAAGTAACTTCTTTCAGCTAAGATGGATAAAAGGGACTGCAAATCCTGTGGTGGTTTTGGTGTACTGCCTGTAATTCATTGGGTGGTTCTTTTTCCTTTCAGTTAATTTTGCATTTGCTATGTGAGGTTATGTAAATGGAAACGTGAGAGTGGGTTGTCCAAGAAGTTTTTTGTTCCTGAACCTATCATTAACCAGTGAGGAGGGGAAGAACATCAGACTTCCCTTAAAGAAGGACGTTACAGCTAACCTCCTTGTAGAAGAAGGTCTTTGACATCCATGAGTTTTCTTAGATAGGAAACTAGTTGGTGTGCTCGCTGTGACCACTACTTAAAATGTGGTTTCCTTGGTGGTGTCTAGAGTTTGTGTGGGGTCAGTTGCATGTAGTTTCAGTAAGTGGGTGAGTACCAGGCCTGCTCTCAGTCCTTGCAATGTTTTTCCTATCAACAAATTTCTAATCAATAGATTTCTTTCTAATTGTTTGAGTCCTTACACAAAGCATTTACTCTGTGAAAATCATCAGGTCTGGACTCCAGATGTGAGCAAAATAATGCAAAGAATACTTTCCATGTTTTTTTTATGATACAGTTCTTTTGAATATAATGACTTTCCACATTTGGTTCTCCCCCTAGTCTCATGGAAACCATCACCATCACCATGAAAAGCCTCTGCTTGAACAAAACAAAGGCTCTATGTACAAACATCTTGTTTTTCAAAGTACAGAGGAGAGTGCTTACCTGGATTCAACATGGAAAGGACTTACAGCACTTGGAGGCTTGTACTTCATGTTTCTAGTGGAGCATTTGATCACTTTAATAAAGCAGTTTAAAGACAAGAAGAAAAAGGTAGGGAAGCTATTATTTTGAAGCTATATTGTATTCCATGCTTATTTCTGAAAACAGTTACTAAAAAACCTTTTGTGAATATCATATATCTGTTTATTTAGTAGTGATAGTTGACTTCATTAGTGTTAGAATTTAACTTGTATTGGTGACACTTTTAAACTATGTGATAACCTTTTTGTGTGGACCCATTATTAAGGGCTCTGAGCTGTTTCTATAACCAAACAATATAGTAGAGGCTTGACAGCACAGTGAATTGTTTAATTAGCAAATGCCCACTTGCACCCTTTGTTTTAACAGAGTGGCTTAATAAGTTCATTATTGACTTCCTTCCAACGTCTTAAGGCGATTATAACTATCTGAACTGGTTTTATTATTTCAATTCCCATACTGGCTGCTGTAAGATGTCCTCATACAGTCATTGTACTGCTGTTGAGGGAGACATTTGCATGAACTGGCAAGGGTTGGCAGTAAGTGCTTACATGAGTAAGCATCCAACTACACTGTAGAAAGTGGCTTCACTGAATAGCATTCCATTTGGAAATACTGAGCCCCTCGCTGTTTTGTCTTCTCCCCCCAAAACAGGAATACAGTTCTCAGATTTCTATGCTGGTCTTCATGTGGTAGGTAAATAACTGAATTTTGGCAAGTCATAAATGTTGGTAACTTGCCAATTACTGGTAACAGTTCTTTAAAGACTAGTGTAGCCAGGAATAAAGAATGATGTAAAAGTTGGCTCAGTAAAAAAAGCAAAAGCTGGTGATATAATAGAATCATAGAATGGTTTGGGTTGGAAGGGACCTTAAAGGTCATCTGGTTCCAACCAATCTTAAGCTTTGCATGAAAAAAAGTAGTAAACTACACATTACTAAACTTAAAAATAATGAATTGCTAGGCTACCGCAGTGACTGATCTTCCCTGCTTAGTTTTACTGTTAAACTGGTCATTAAGGCAGTAGTCTTGAAGCAGATGCCATGTAAGTAAGCTCTTTGACTTTAATCATGAGAGGTCGTGTTACTGTGGTTTATACTGAAGCTAAACTGTGAGCTTTCCCTATCTCTGGTTAAATTTATTTGACAAGAAAGAACATGAAGAGCTCCAAGCAAAGCAAGTATTTTGTGTCCTCCTGTCAGCCACAGAGAATGGATTTCCTGTTAGGCTAATTACGCCCCTTTAGATACTGAGTCACTGATCATAAATTGTTGTGATACAGACATTAGTGAGCAAGGAGTAGAGATTTTACTTGATTTTCCTTCCGTACATGATCAAAACCCCATTATACTGCCATTACAATAGAAAAGAATTAGCAGAATAACTTTTACTCAGTATTTGATGTATTTTGCTTCTCAGATGAAACCCCTCTGCTTATTCCTCATGGAAATATGTGGGGTATTTGTGTATAGGTTTGTTGTTTGCTTGTGTTCTTTTTTTTTCTTTTTCCCTTCTATGGAGCCTGAGGAACCTTTGATATCTTACTTAGCTGAGTTTCTTACATTCTTCTTCTCTACTCTTTATATGGCTTCCATGTTGTCCTCTTTCTATGCAGGCTGCATAAATGTTGTGAATATAATGTTGCTCATGTATATCCTGAAAAATAAGTTAAATATTCATAACTGAAGTGTTTTCTTTTGGAATAAGAAAAAAAATGAAGATGATGGAGAAAGTAAGAAGTTTTCAGTGAATGAAGAAAAGTTAGATGCAGATGACCGTAAGTCTCATTAATATTGCACAGTTATTATTTTGTGGCAGCACTGTTTAAGAAACACTGAGTGATGGTAGCTCATAGATCTGCTTCTTGCTGTAGGTTGGATCACTGCCTACTTCAATTCTTTTCAAAACAAAACCTGTCTGTGCATTGATATATAGAGAACTACCTCTCTTTGCTTCTTTCCTTTAAAAAGGGATCAATAGGTTGGAAGTAGCGAATTCGGTTTTGAAACCCTAAGCCTTTTAATTCTGGATTTAGCAGCAGAAATTGAAGTCATTCTGTGAAGCTCTTCTGGCTGTGGCTGTGCAAATACAGCTTTACCTACTTGTTTCTACACTTCTCTTTAGAGTGTTGGATGTTATATGTGTGATTCATTATTTATATTTCTGTATATCTGAAGTCTGGATTTTGTTAGTTTGAGTGTTTCATTTATTTATAAGGGTGATAATCTAAGATTCTAGACGTTACTTGAAGTGTTTGGAGTGCAAATATTCATGCTGTAAGCCAAACTACATACTTGTTAGCTCTTGTAATAGAAGGAGATGTTGCATTTATTAGAGTTATTTTATAACTAATGAAAGAGTTGTCGGTAGTATGGAAAGAAAAAGTGTATTTGTTCATTTAATTGCCGGGGAAGAATTTAGCAAGTTTTAGGAGTTAGTTGAAATAACTAACTTCAGTGGGCTGCTAATGTTTAGGTGAGGATATTTCACTGTCTGTGTTGATGACTGACTTCTTGAGTGTTTATTTCCCAGGTGTTAAACTTAAGTGCCTGTATTTATATGAAATACAGGAGAGTCAAAAATTATTTTTAATGTGACCGTCTTCTGTGTCTTGATTCTCTAGCCCTAAGATGAATAAATGGCATATGTTTTTCAAACACTTGGTCTTTCTGAAGCAATTGAACTAACAGCCTTCATGCTGTGAAACTGGGACCTAGAGCCTTATGCTGTTGTGTTTAAATTCCACTGGGTCTTGGGTTGAAACCTTTTTAACTTTTCAGGGTCATTTGTGGCCATAGTGTAAGGGCTACTTCAGCAATAGGGGACAGAAACTAGAAGTTCTATGTATTTTCAACTATTGGAATTATCTCTGAAATCTAATTAAAGAAAAATAAGTTGTGGAAACCCTTAAAAATACCTTCTGACGCAAGATGCTGGGTTATCAGTGTCAGCTTCTAGACTTACTGGTTTATTCTTTACTGCATCACATACTCAACTTGTTCCTTATATCTTTGCTTCCTAGGTGATTTTAAAAATGTATAACATTGATACTATGGGTTTTTGTAACAGGGCCTGAGGGCTATCTAGGGACAGACTCTCAAGATCCATCAACCTTCATTTCTCAGCAGCCAACTGTACAAGAGGAAGAAGAAGTGATGATAGCTCATTCTCATCAAGAGGAGGTTGACAATGAATATGTGTCCAGGGGCTGTAGAAACAAATGCCATTCTCACCTACATGATACTCTAGGACAGACAGATCATCTTAGTCATCATCACCATGACTACCATCATATTCTGCATCACCATCATCATCAGAACCATCATCCTCACAGTCACAGTCAGCGCTACTCACGTGAAGAACTGAAGGATGCAGGGATAGCAACTCTGGCATGGATGGTGATTATGGGAGATGGACTACATAACTTTAGTGATGGACTAGCAATTGGTAAGTGTTAACTTGGATGCTGCAGTCTTGTATTTCCAGTTTAACAACATAGAAGTCAGTGGTAAATGAAACTGAAATTAAATGCTTACAGCTGTGCTTCTGTAGGGATTCTATACATTTTGCTTTATTTCCACCTTTTAGCAAAGTTAATGCTAAGGTTTTTCAAACCTAAAGCTAGAATTATAAAACAATATTTAGGATTGACTTTGTATTTCAGTGCCTGCAAGTGCTCAGCAGTTTTTAAAATTTTAATTGTTTTTTAAGACAAGCTTGTCTTTTATCATCACATACGAAGTAACTACAATTTTTCCACTTCAGTCAGGCCACTAATATCGTTGGCTGCTGGTTTTTCTTTTCCATTTTCATTTCTTATGCAGCAAGGTCAGGTTCTATACTGGATCCTGATTACAGTGCGAGTTCTCCTAGAGCACTAGTGAGCAGGGTCCCTGGTTTCAATCTGGTTTATCCTGAAGTATACCCAAATAGATTAGGCAATATCTATGTGCAATTTTTGTGCTGTTGGAGGTAGGTAGGCATGCATTCATTTTTACTGTAAAATTAGTTTGGTCCAAGGCCACTGTGTTCTCTAAGATGCTCTTACACTTTTGTATAGCAGTCCTGTCACATCCAGATTTTCAGATCTTACCATCCCTTAAGGAGCAGCTTTGCAGTTCTTCCTAGTGCTTGTACTAGCCTTCCAGAGAAGGTTTGTGCTGCTTTTTGTATCCAGGAGTGTGTGAGTAGAACAGTAGTTAGCTATTACCTGTCAGAAATGTGATTCATGAAGAAGATAACAATGAAGTCACTGTATGTTGCCTTTATGCAGATTTTTGGATTAAGAATGTCTGTCTCAATTAAAGGATTAACAGTTGGACTTGATCTTAGGTCTTTTGCAGCCTAAATGATTCTATGATTCTCTACGTAGTTTTCTTCAGATGCTCAATGTGCTGTACTCAGACACAGTCTCTCTTTTTGGAAAAGGTTTTTTAAAAAAATTTTAAACAGCAGTCATACCCTACTCAAAACCTTCTCCTGAAGGTGAACATAATAGTTCATTTTAAAAAAAAAATCATCTAAACAGGTGTAGGATATGAAAGGAGGGCCATGAAGTTGATAAGAGGACTGGAGCATCTCTGCTATGTAGACAGGCTGAGGAATTTCTGCATGGAGACCTCATAGCAATTTTTCAATATCTGAAGGGGCTACAGAGGAGCTGGAGAGGGACTCTTTGTTAGGAAGTGCAGTGATAGGACAAGGGATAACAGGTTCAAATTGAAGGAGGGGAAGTTTAGGTTAGATATTAGGAAAAGGTTTTTTACCATGAGGGTGGTGAGACACTGGCACAGGTTGCCTAGGGAAGCAGTGGCTGCCCCAACCCTGGCAGTGTTCAAAGACAGGTTGGATAAAGCCTAGAGCATCCTGGTCTGGTGGGGAGGTGTCCCAGCCCATGGCAGGAGGCATTGAGACTAGATGATCTGTAAGGTCCATTCCAACCCCTAAAATTCTGTGATTCTATGAAGTAGTTATTTTATCTGTAAACAGAACATGAATATTTTTGTTCCTTTTCTGTTCATGCCCTTATTTTTCCCTTAACCTGTTGTAGTTGCTCAGTCTTTTTTCACAGAGCTTCAGTGAAAATGTTTCTCTATCACAAAAATAACAGATTGAGTATTATGTTGTGGACTTCTGTCTGGGACATCAGTTTTGGGGGTTCTTGGTTCTTTTTTTCTCGAAGGAGAGCTAGACTACGAGTATTTTGAATTTAAAAGGTTAGTAAGTTACAGAAGGTGAAGTCAAATCAGTAATCTTCAGTTCTTATGCTAATCTTTCCTGATCTTGACTTCAGTATTTAAGACTAATCTTTACAGGTATTGGATTTATTTCCAGCTTGTATAGCATAGTGAGGGCAGTCAGCAGTATCGGTCTGAAAAAATTCATGTAAATTTTCTTGTAGAAACAAGTTCATTCTTGTTTGAGGAGAAAACCCAATAACTATTTTCTCACAGCAGTATTTGCAGTTGTTCAGATTCAGTCAATTCAAAGTATAACGTGAAAAGAGACTTTATGATTTAATCTCATTTTTGATGAAAGTTGAAGCATGAAATGTAAATTTTTGAGCAGATCAGTAGTGAAAATGTGGTAGAAGGAAGATTTGCATACAAATGACACACAGAATCAATTACTTCTTGGCATTAGGGAGATTTGGGAAGGAGCTATGACTTTATAGTTATGAAGGGAAAAGTATGAGAAAGGTTAATAAAGGCTTATTGAACAAGTGAGAGTAATAGCTTTCAGAAGTCCTGCTGTGTAGCTTGTTCAGGCTAATGGAAATATGAGTTTCCTTCAGTTTCGTGTGTGCTTAAAAGTATTATGGAAAAACATCAGTTTGGTGGTGTGAAAATGCCAGTGCTGCTGGTGTGGTATTTTACCTGTATTTAAAAGAAAATGTGAAGGCTTCTGTAAAGATAGCCAGCATAACCCTTCACTTTAAGTTCATTCAGTGCATGTGGTTTATTATTCATAACTTTCATCAGTTACTTTTTTTCATCAAATCATTTGTGCTAATTATGCAGGAACAAGATTTAGAAGTGGTTACATTTCTATTAAAGCACTGAACAGTTGCATCTGACTCATTTGTACAAAATGATCATCTGTGATTTGAACTTTTCTGTGTAACTACAACTAAATAACTAAAATGCAGAACACTATTTTTATACTAGTCTTGCAAATATTTCTTCTGTAGCTTTTTTTTTTTTTAGAGAAATGATGTCTTAAAAGTATATTTTAAGATAGCAATGATGCTATTAAATCAACTTCTTGAGAGGGTATAATGCCAGATATATTAATGTGGTCTTTGCTTTATTGAGTTTCAAGACTTCTTTCTAGCAGTGTAAAATAAAAATAGATGTTATTTGAGCTTGTACTTTGGTTACTTCTTACTCTTTGTCTTTGAACTTCATAAGATTCAAGTTTACCATGGTCTTGTCTAAAGCTCTAGTGCTTGATGTGTCTCCTCAGCCCTTACTTTCTCCCCACCACCCCCCAACTTAGTGTCATCTGCAAATCTGCTGATAGTGCTGTTTCATCCGGATCATTAGTGAAGATACTGAAGAAAATGGGTGGCATTTTCTGTCCTGGTGTGCTCTACTTATTACTAGCCAGCTATGGGGCCCTGTCAGCCCAGTAGTCCAGACAGTGTACAAGCCCACATTTCCTCTTTCTACAGGTGAGACTGGTCAAGGAGATAGTGTCAGAAATCCTAGTCAGTTCAAGTTCTGTTACATTCACTGCCATTGCCATCTCTATATTCAGTTATCTCCTCAAGCTGGATGAAGAATTTGGAGAGGAATTTGAAGATGATATTCAACATGATCTTTTCAGGAACTGAGATGGTGCTGACTGTTCCCTGAGTCCTGTTCTTTGCCTTTCTTAGAGATGGGAATAATGTTATCCTTTTCCCAGAGTTCCACTGGGGCCTTCCATAGCTATGGTTTCCCACAGATGATAGACTGCAGCCTCTTACACTAGTCAAGTCTGTCAGCACCCTTGGATTAGTCCATCCTGGGATGCATCTGTGCATTTCCAGTTTTTTCTACTTTTCTCTGAACTGCTGCTTCTGTGGCTTGCTGTGTCTTTCTGGAATAGTGCTGGGATCTGGCTTTGTTGATGAAGACTGAAATAAAGGCTGTGCTGATGTTTTGCCTCTTTTTATGCCTACTGCTTGTTTCCTTTCCTTATCTATCAAGAGACCCAAATTTTCCTGAACTTTGTTTCTCAGCTAGTATTGTTGTAGAACTGTTTGTTGTTATCCTTGTTGTCTTATTAGTTTTAGCTCCAGCTGGGCTTTGGTCTTCCTCTTTTGTGTTCCACTGCTTTTAACTTCCTTGTTGCCAGTCTTTGTTCCTATTTCTTATGTACTTCCTTTTTGAGTCTTGATTCATTAAGACACACTGCTTAGCTGGGCATGTCTTCTGTGAGTGTTCCTGCACAAACAGGGTAGTTCCTTTGTGCACTCTGTGTGCTTTACAAACTGGCCAATTCTTCTGGGTGCTTTTACCCCTTTAACTGATTCCCAGGGTATTCTACACTGCAATTCCTTAAATAAGTCAAAGTCTGCTTTGTTGAAGCCTAGAGTCCTAGTTTTGCTTCTTCCTTTCCCAGTCTCCTTCTATATCCTGAACTTAGTCACCTCATGCTCACAAGATGTTATTTTTTGCTGTATTTGCCATCAGTTTTTCCTCATTTGTGAGCAGCAGGTTGAGTAGAACACTACTTCTGTCTGGCTTTTCTGTCATTTGTGCTGAAACCATTACCAATACAATTAAGGAACATCCTGGATTGTGTGCCCAGTGCTGAAAACTCTTATTGTGAATGGTGATGTCCTGTGTTCATAGGTAGCCTTATCCACCACTTTTGCTTGGTTAAGTGGTTTGTAAACATATTCCTAGTGTGTTACTCTGGTCTTGACCAGGAGACTGAATAGGCACATGGAACCACATTCATATGTACTTTTATACTGGAGCTCTCTGTGGTCAAGGAACTCCTTTATGTAGATAGACAAAAAAAGTAATGATTTGTATTCTGTCTGTGTAGGCAGTCAATATCTGTCTGTGACAGCCCAGATGAGCTTTGGTGGTGTCTCCACGGCATCATCAAGGCAGGCTTTGGGCAATCAATGGACTTCCTGGGCAGTAGGTCAGCAGGTCTGCCTCTGCCCTCTGTTCTGCATGTGAGAGAATCTCCTGTCACAAAAAAAAATAAATAAATCTTTCTTTTCTTTTTGTACTGCTGTCCTTAATCTGATGTACTGAACTCTGCTGGGCAAGGCAGAACTCTTATGTTCTCACTGCTGCCAGGGTCATGACCATGTTCTTCAGATTAGTAGCTGCAAATGAGGACAGAGGGTTCTTCCTATTGCCAGACTTCACTGTTTTCAAATTGTATCCATCTGGGAGTTCATGTTTTCTGTTTCAGTGCTGCTTTGATCCTACGTCCCTCTCAATCCCCTGTTTCATTATCAATCATCCAAAGATGCCTGCTTGCTACTTCCTGCATCCTGTTCACTGGGTGCTACAGCACACATCCCAAGGGTAAAGCTGCTGCTGTTGTCACTGTGGGGAGGAGCATCAGTAGTCTGTTGTACATGAAGACCTGGATAGCAGTGTCCACCCTCAGGAGTTAGGTCAGGGTGGAGGCTACTGGAGTCCTGGGGATGGCAACCCCAGCAAAAAGAGAGGATTGTCTCCTGTGGAGTCATTGCCTTTGTAGCTCTTCCTCTGTGAACAGTACTCCGGGGTCCCTTGCTACTGTGAGATGGCCTCGTGCCTCCTCTGCTTGTAGGCAGCACCTTGTTTGCTGGCAATCTGCTGGTAGCAGCTGAAGAGGAAGGAGGATGTGGTTCTGCACCCCTGGAGAGGCTTTCCATGCACTTCCTGTGCTGTGTGGGTGAGCTGTGGTTCAGCTCTGTACCCTGTGGTATGCTGCATCCTCCTGAGCTAGTGGCAAGCAACAGGAGGAGTGAAGAAAACAAGAACGATAAGGACTATAGGACTAGTTCAAGGGGGTTTGGTTTTTTCTTTTCTTCAGTTAGTCTGGTAGTTCACTTATATCCAAGCTGCCTAGTGTTCAGTCTTTCACTGTTGGTTTCATGTGTCTTACATAGCCTCTCTTACTTTCGTTTTTCAAGTGGCCTGATGCAGATGCAGCTGAGCTGCCTTCTTCCCTTTGTAAAAAAATCCAAAACATTTTCTGACAGTATTTCCATTTATTGCATTTTTTGGGGAGGCTTATGTTGTTGAAAGGTATTGGCTTTGTTAAAAAATGAGAGTGAGATTTGGTTTGCTTTAACTAATTGGAAGATTCTGAAGGAGTATTTTGAAACTTATGAGTCATAAACAACTGTTCAGTTAAAGTTTAAATGCTTCCACAAGCATAAGAAAAATTTGAGTGAAACTAGTATGTCCTAATCTGATACAAGCATATGCAACAAGACTTCTGCACTTGATATCTGAATATGAAGTAATGTTTTGTTTGCTTTTTTCCCCTGTCTCTTCATAGGAGCAGCCTTTACCGAAGGGTTATCTAGTGGTTTAAGCACTTCTGTGGCTGTATTTTGCCATGAATTACCTCATGAGCTAGGTAAGATCCCAGTACTTCCTTATGCTGCAGGTACTTAGAGGTGCACATGGGAGAAGAAATTATTTTATTCTATGGCACTGTAAAATTTGATCAGAAAACTTCATCTATCAGGTTGTCTATTTTAAGAATACTTTTAACTTTAAGACTGTTTTAAACATTTCTTAATTTAATTACACTTCCTGTTAACATCTTAAGTATTTCAGCTGCTTTAAAACTGTCTCTTGCAGTTACTTTCAGCTTGTTCTGTCTAGTTTAGTTGTAGTTTTTGTATGTAACATAAGTTGTGAATTGCAGGAGAATGTGTGACAGAATTTGCTTTTCTCACCTCTCTCTGTAATTTTATTCCTGTGCTTGTGCTGCTAAAAAGAAGGTCACAATTAGTCAAACTCCTTTCTGCATAACATTTGCTGCTTTTTCATTAAGTCTCGCAAAGAACGGCTGTAGCTCTAAATTAAACTTGAAACTACTTAGAAATCTTTCCGAGAAGTAGTTTGTCTTTCAAGCTCAAGTAATTTAAATTCATGCACAGTCCCATGAGAGGTTATTGTTGTGTCTTACAGTGCAGGTTCAGTATTTGGTCCTTTAGCAGGGCAGCTTGTGAGACCAGGACAGATCTGCTTAGTCTAACTCCAGATAAAGCTGATCTTTCCAACTGTCATACTTGGTGTATAGAATGAAGAAAGAACAGTTTGCCTACACTTATTGTAATGTTTAATTCCCTAGAGAGTAGAACATTGATGTTTACACACACTGGTTTACAAGCTCCATTAAATGAAACAAACTGTATATTAAACAGTTTGATGTATTTGTACAGTAATGTTACACAGGAGTCCATTATTCTGGAGAAAAGGTACCTGATTTTATGACTTGGGAGGAATTGGGTCTTCATGTTAATCGTGGAACTTGTATTAATTACATGCACTAAATGGTGTTAGTTCAGATATACAAAATAAATGAGCAATGTGAATCTGATAATTTTAGCTTCTGTTGGGTTGGAAAATAAGAAAAATCTTTTTAAATTTAAATCATACTTCTTTAATCAGCATAGAAAATTTGGTAAGAAATACCTCCTTTAACAAGGAACATGAAGTGGTATAGGAATATTGGAACAAATGGGACTGGCTGACATTAGCTGGGATTAAAATTGGATCATTGTTGTTAATACTAAACAATGTTTATAATATACCAGTTCATCTTAATTGCAGTATTTGTAGGAGAAGCTGTTTTAATAAATTGCTCAACTCAGCTTTGAGTATTACTTTTGTTTAACTGGAGATAATTTATATAGAATCCATTTTATTTCCGAATAATAAGCTTATATTACGTTGGTTTAGAAAAAAATCTATTCTGAATTACAGAAAACCTGTTTCTAGCTTATAGTCTGTCATTCCTTCAAGTAAAAATTAGACATTAAGGATCATTTAAAGAAATTAATAATTCTGCATTATTTCTACATTTATGAAACAGACTCAAAGTACAAAGAACAGTTACAGGATAATAAATGGAATAATCATCATTGGTTTATGCAATTGAGTGGGAATATTTTATTTTGGGAAATTTTTCAAAATGCTCATGCATATCAGGTACTGTGGTATTTTACAGTGGTGGTTTAAATGCAGCCTACACTAAGATCCTAATTAGAGAGCATCCAAAGGAGGCTACGAAGATGGTAAAGAGCCTGGAAGGGAAGCAATACACAGAGTAGCTGAGGTCACTTGGTCTGTTCAGCCTGGAGAAGAGGAGTCTGAGAGGAGACTTCATAGCAGTCTACAACTTCCTCATGAGGGGAGGTGGTGGAGGGGCAGGCGTTGACCTCTCCTCTCTGGTGAACAGTGACAGGACCTGAAGGAACAGCATGGAGCTGTGACAGAGGAAGTTTAAGTTAGATATTAGGGACAAGCTCTTCACCCAGAGGGTATTTGTGCACTGGAACAGCTCCCCAGGGAAGTGGTCACAGCACCAAGCCTGACAGAGGTCAAGAAGTGTTTGGACAAGGCTCTCAGACACATGGTGTCAGGGCCAGGAGCTTGACTTCAGTGATCCTAGTGGGTCCCTTACAACTCAGAACATTCTGTGATTTGGCGCAAAGCTGCTTCTTCCAAAAATCCTAAGACTTTAAGGTTATAAACTTAGAGTGTTTGCTGCTGTGTTGTTCTTCCTGTGCTCCCTTTAATTTTCTGTCCTGCCATGATTTCTGATTTTAACAAAGGAAAAATACAAGGTAAATGACAGCATAAAATAGCTTAGTTATCTTGTAAGAGAACTTGTGAATGCTGCAATAGTTACCTGAGAATTAAAACTTTGTTTTGCTTTTCCCCTGTTTGTAGGTGATTTTGCTGTACTTCTAAAAGCTGGTATGACTGTCAAGCAAGCTGTGCTTTATAATGCTCTGTCAGCTATGCTGGCCTATCTTGGAATGGCAACTGGGATCCTTATTGGTCATTATGCAGACAATGTTTCAATGTGGATATTTGCACTTACTGCTGGCTTGTTCATGTATGTGGCTCTTGTGGATATGGTAAGTGGCCAGTAGACCTACTTGAATTTTATATAGCATAGTTTAAGAATTCATGCTAATATTATTTTGATCTCAAAATAAATTTTTCCATTTTTTTCTGCCTCAGTTAACTTTTTCCATGCTCTGAGGTGCTGATGAGTACCCAGTTTAAGTGCTCAGTTAAATTCTCAGAGATTGTTTCCCCCTTAACTGATAAACACAGGCAATTAACAGCAAAAGAGTTTGCTGCTGGCAGTGGCCAGTATAGCAGATAGCTGGTAAGGCTGCAATTTGCACATTATCAGCACCACTAAATTTGCTTCAATTTTTGCATAAAGTCATTACTTCATCTTGGGATGAAGACAGAATTGTGGTAAAACCTATACTGTACCTCCAGAAGTGTGATTGTACAAAGTGCCTAGTGGATGTTTCTGAAAGCTTAACTGCCATCTTAAGAGTGAAGTTCTTGGTGTGGCTTGATCAAATCAGTTATTAAATAATAATATCCGGAGTAAGTGGCTGAGTTAAGACATCAGCATAATTGAAAACAATAATAAGAACATTACAGGTTCTCTCTGTCTCTAAATATGAAAGTAGACTCTGACAATGTTGTTCATGTTGAGTGACACCTAATTGAAGGAGCACTATTGATGCAGTTGGCAGGAAGGGCTACCTTATGCCTCATGATTAAAGAACTGGGTTTGAACTAACTGTTTATTTTGAAGGCATTTAACACTTTCATGTTTGTTTTAGGTACCTGAAATGCTCCACAATGATGCCAGTGATCATGGATGTAGCCGGTGGGGATACTTCCTGCTACAGAATGCTGGGATTCTCTTGGGTTTTGGGATAATGCTGCTCATCTCGGTATTTGAACATAAGATTGTATTCAGCATAAACCTGTAATCCTGGTTGCCAGGAAGACAGCTTGGTGTTATATTATAAGTGGAGGGTTTTTTCTATTCAGTTCCTTACTGGAGAGGTACGTTTGATATAGACTAGATATTTTTATTGGTGTGCTTTGTTGTTGTGTCCTTCCCTCCCTTCTGCCCCGATAGAAATGAACACTGTAAAGTTTGGGGTTTTGTTATTTTTTTTTACTTAGGATTTAGCGTTGCTTATGGTACTGTGGAAAGTTGTACTTAGTAAAACCTGGTGAAAGTGCCAAATTTGTATTGTCTGGGGAGTTAGGTTGTTTTTTTACTAAATTTATTTACTGTATGTAATTGTATGTTATGTTTTTTACATCAATGGGTTTGTTGGTTTAGAGAGGTAAAATGACAGTGGTTTTTATTTTAGCACAATCAAAATCAGTGGGTACAAAGCACAGTGAGCAGTGTAAAATGAGAAAAAGACATGTAATGGCATAATAACATGTGTTTACATTGGTAGAAACTTGTCTTCTGCAGCCACCTAGTTTATATGGAGTGGCATGTGAGTCCATGCCATCCTTTGCAGTGGTGGTTCTCTCAATAGCTTGTGGATTCTTTGTGTCTTATTCCAGTTGGTTTCTACTCCAAACAACTTAATGTGAAATCGTGTTCTAAGTATTTGCATCAAATGTTCTACTTGTTTCATCCCTTCTGATATAGGTTGTTCTTTACAGATGTCTCAAATCAGCAACAAAAGTACAGCTATTAAATTGTAAAAGCATGGCTCCAGCTCTAAAATATGTGAATTCCATTAAAAAGGCTTTAAAAGCAGTGCTCTATCCCACTTGTACTGCCTGAAATGGCAAAGGTGTATTAAACTCTGTTTGATTCCGAAGGGGAGGAGTGCTACAAGCTGAGATAAACAGTCATTTACTACAACAGCTTCCTGAAGTAAAGTGTTTGTTGATTTACTTTGGCAAAATGAGCTGAGTGGGAAAGCTGACTACTTCTAGTTCAGTGTGATTGCACACAAACCTGTGCTTGCAAAACAGTTACATTCTTTGCAAGAACTAAAGCTGAGAAATCCAAAATAGCAAAATTTCTTTGACAGCATATCTAGGGAACTAGTGTGTTAAGGATAGTGTATACTCAAGCATGTGGTTTGAGCTTACAGTCTTAATATTTTTAACTACCCAGAGTATAACTGCAGGAAGGAGAAGGCTGAAAAAAACAATAGCAAAATAAATAAATTCTGCATTTGCAGAGAAGGTGAACATTAGACAACCTTTATATGATAAAGAACTAACAATTATTCTGTCTTAACTAGCTGGCTTTAAAAATCCCAGAAATATAAGAATTAGAACTTGTTTCTGACCCACTGCTTCAAATCATCAGCTGAATAAAAAGCTTGACCAAAAAGTGGAAGTATTTGATAATTCCATGTCCAACAGGTTAAAACAGTCTGTTGGTCTGTCATACAATGGAAGCCAAAGCTATTCTATCACCTCAGAAACAGATGTTTACAATTAATGGAGAGGTTTGGGGTTTTTACTAGTTAAGAAATGGGTATCACAGAAGTTTCTGTAGCCAGTGGAATATTAGCTTCTCATCCTTCAGTCTTTCCTCAGGTTAACAATATTGGGATTTACTCTTTTCCCGCATTGATGAAATCCTGTTCCGTGCCTCCTTTGAAGCCAGGGGGTTGAGAAAGGTGTACTTCCTTCAGGTCTGCTAGTGCATTTTGAAGGCAGCACTATGCTGTGATGAGGTCTTACTGCTTCCCCTACATCTGTGCGTGTCTCTGCTCGGTGAGCAGTTTGCAGAGCAGAAGAGACTTCCCTTCTGGAAGCACTCATTTTCCTCCCCCTAACCTAACTTTCTATCACTAGAACCTACTCTGGTGCTAGGCTTTCATCTCTAACAAGACCACTGCCAAAATGTAGGTCCATTCTCTCCTTTCATCAAGCACTTTGCATTCTGTATGCCTCCTATTCTATGCTCTTGCACTTTGATTAAGCCTCTGGACTTGTGTTATAAGCACACCTCTGGACAGGGGAGTCGTGCCATGGTACAACAGCCATCTGCTATGGCTTATATAGCATCTCCTTGATCACTCATCCTGTGCTGTGTTTACTCTTTTCTAGTCGTATTCTAGTGTTCCCAAGCTTGAATTAGTAGTATCTATGAGTACAATGAAAAATGGATATATATCTACCCATTGCTTCTACTTCTTCCATACACTTAAACTGTTAGCTGATTTGAACTCACAGAAGAGAAGGCAACCTGTGTTCTTATAGTCTAAACTCAGGCAGTAATTCTACCCTTACCTGTGCTATCATAGTAGCTAAAACCCCCACCTGCTGATCTTCACCTTTCCCTTGCCACCTCTAGTCCGTGAATACCGTAATCTCTGGTTCATTAAAAGCTGTTTAATTTCTGCCATGTGCATATCACTGCCTCCTTTAGAAGAACACATAAGATGCAAACAACCATGCTGACACACATACTCACACTAAACCTGTCAAATGGCATCTTTTCATGCCTCGTCTACGGCGCTTTCCTATACTGACCTCCTGTCTTGGCAGTCCCACCTCATTCCAGATCTCTCAAAATGTGGCTGCTTTTCTCCCGGAGGTCTCTTCGTGATTGTCTCTTTATTGTGGCTGAATGTGTCAGCCTTTGGAGCAATCTGATTTGATCCTGACCTGCTTAAATTAGCCTTGGCTTTGCGAGGGTAATGGTGCTGGTCACCATCAGAACTGATGTGCCTCAGTTTGCACTCCTGTACTGCTCCTCATGAGCAACCCATGTTCCTGAGGGAAAAAATCAGCAAGACTTTTCCCTTCCTTTCCTGCAGACCTCTCATTGTGGCTCTGTTCTGCATAATGCAGAAGAGTGTCTGGGATGCAGCCTCACTGTGTCCTAGCAGGTTTTGTAGGGATCAGGCACTGTGTTTACCCATGGTCTGGTAAACCACCATAAATGCAGTGCCCTGCAGCCCATAGGGCTTTCACCTTCTATTCTGCACTCTTGGCTGCTGCAGAGATCGGGCATGCTCCACATCTGTGGTCCTGAGGGATTTCAAACTTGGATGAGCTCGGTTTGCTTTGAAGTTTTTACTAGCCTGCAACCATAATAGCTGCCAGTTCAGCTGGACTTCTCTCGTTCACGTGCTGGATGTGACACAGGAAGCAGGCAGGTAGCCTAGCATTGCTCAAGATATTTTAAGATCAATGACAAAACTATGGAGATAAATCTACAAATTTCAGTCAGCGTTTCCAGTGGGTTCTTGGCTGACTTCCAGTGTAATCAACTGGCATTAAAATATCTGCATATCAAAACACGTTGCTAATGTAACAACATGAAAAATAAACTACCTTTAGAGCATGTGGGCAGAAATGTCTCTAACCTAAACACAAGCCTATTCCACCCATTCAGTGCTCTTTAATCTGTGATGGAGTGATGCCCATGACAGACAGCTGTCCGAAGTGGGAATTGAGAAGACTTACAGACTGAAACTTGCTGTAGGTTTGTAGCAGCAAGATGACAAAAGGTTAAATTTTATTTTGGGGGGTGGTGGTGGTGTTTGTTTTGTTGTTTTTGGTTTTTTTTGCTTGTCAGCCTTATAAAGTAGAATCTGCATCTGTTGCAGTGTACTCATGTTGAGAAATACTCATGGTTTGGCAAACTGATGGGGCAGAGCCTTTAAGCAGCCCTTTATTTTTATGCATATGTTTTTTCTGCAGCAGTTTGTAATGTGCCTGGCTATTCTGGCTGATAAATGGAAGTCTGTTGTGTGTATCCGTCTGTAGCTTAATTATGGTACATACCTTAGTTTTATATGCTGTCACAGCTGCCTTTAGTGCCTGTGCTAGATGCAGGTGAACAGAATAGGCAAATAATGCTGGAATCAACTGTTCGTTTTTTGGTAACGTGTTCTAATACCTTTTGCCTGTATTTGCACAGAAAAGGTGTCGTGTAGTTTCTTTGTCCAGTGAGAGTCAGAGCAAAGGTGTGGGAGCTCTCAGGTTCTCCCCTGCCTCTGGCCTGTGGGGTTCAGGTGCCAGTATGGTTTCTCTGCCTCTTTGTGGCTAAATGTGATGCCAAGGGTGCTGTGACAACACAGCTCATTCGTGTTTATGTAAAACACAGCCAAGCCTAAAATGGAATTCATGGAGGCTCTTCTGCTCCCCAGACTGAGACACCACACAATGACAATTGCTGTGGAAAAACAGGGTCATTCTGATTGCCAAAAGCAAGAAGCAAAAATGTGTTTTAATGAAATGTGGGGGTTTTTTATTTAAAGTACCTTTTTGGTGTATATGTGATCACTGTGGTAGTTACTGTATTGCTGTGTGCTAGAGAAAATAAACCACTGAACCAAATGCTGGGTTTTGAATGTTTTTTCTTGCTGATGTAGATATGGCAAGAGGTGTTACATCTTTCATTTACTGTCTCAGGGGAAAATAATTGAAATATGTTTAGTATATGAAGTTTAACGAGGGCAAGTGTCAGATTCTGCACCTGAGATGGGGCAACCCTGGGTGTATGTATAGACTGGGGGATGAGATGCTGGAAGGAAATGCCAGTGAAAGGGACCTTACCTCATTGATGGTAAGTTTGAATATGGGCCGACAGTGTGCCCTGGCAGCCAGGAGGGCCAGCTGTGTCCTGGGGTGCATCAGGCAAGGCATTGCCAGCTGGGTGAGAGAGGTGATTGTCCTGCACTGATCTGTGCTGGTGCAGCCTCACCTTGAATATTATGTGCAGTTTTGGGCACCACAAGATACAAAAGATACTAAGCTATTAGAGAGCATCCAAAGGAGGCAATGAAGATGGGGAAGAGCCTTGAGGGGAAACCATAGGAGGAGCAGCTGAGGTCACTTGGTCTGTTCAGCCTGGAGGAGACTGAGGGAAGATCTCATGGCTATATACAACTTCCTCACGAGGGGCAGTGCTGGGGCAGGCACTGATCTCTCTGGCAACCAGTGACAGGACCCGAGGGAATGTCACGAAGCTGTGTCAAGGGAGGTT